ATATAAATTAAAAGAAATGGAGTTACCCACAGGAGTTGTTCGCTGGTTATCTAACTTTCTTGGAAACAGAAAATGTAGAGTAAATGTCGAGGGTACCTACCTACTCAGAACATTTTACTCCAGAGGCAAGTATCCCTCAAGGAGGGGTAGTTAGTCCTATCTTGTACATCATGTGTGTAAGCAACATACCATTAAGAGACTCAAACCATAGTTCAACATCACAATTTGCTGATGACGTCACTATCTGGAAGAGTTCAAATATACTCTTAATAGCAGCGAATAATTTGCAACCGGTTTTTAATCAAATTGTTGAATACTGCCAAAAATACAGAAATAATATTAACAATCCCAAAACAAAACTAATGTTATTTTCAAAATATTTAAAATTATGCAGAAACCCCCCATAATATATATCTGAACGGAGCTCTTCCAGAGACCAGTCAATCAGCAACATTTTTAGGCCTAATGTACGATTCCCAATTAAATTGGAGAAAAAATATATAGAAAATTATACAAAAAGTGTGGCAACGAGCAAACTATTTTAAAATACTCACAGGAAAAATACAGGTGCATCTCCAGAAAATATTATTAAAATTTATAAACAATACATAAGACCAGTAATTGAATATGCATGCCCGGCATGGTTAAATATAGCGAAAACAAACCTAAAGAGACTACAGACAATATAATAACATCAGCCTACAGAGTCCCAAGAACCACAAACCTGACACTTTTACACAAATATGCTAACATAGACACATTAAAGGATAGACTGATAGATTGCTCGTTCCGCTACTTTATTAAAAAATTGTATAAGAATGATTTGTTAACAGAAATAGATCGCTATATCATACATGATGTAGATAGGGCTAAGTGCCTCTCATCATTAAACTACTATATTGAATTTAAAAACCACTCACATTAGACTCTTAAAATTTTCTCATCCGTGAGTTAAACATGGTCGCGATATTTTATGAGTATTTATATGTAAATAACGCGGTGGTGTGTATCTCGCGGGAATGTGTGGTGACATTTGAACTGTTCAGGATCTTCCACGACCAAATGAAGCAGTTATCAACTGTTTGTTAGTACGAGTGATCGAGTTAAGAGATGATGTTATCTCCCCACAAAATGCTACCAGTATGTTATTAAAGGACGAGTCCCTGAAAATAATCTAGCAATTAATAGTAGCAGCGGCATTTGGAAATAATTATAATTAGTTCAGGAGGGGGAAGAGGTCGAGAGCGTACCTGACCCTTCTAGATCCACAATGACCAAAAAAACCGGTACCGACTGACCGTTATGCACATTTCTAAATATAATTTTAATTTAAACAAACATCGATATTAAAATAAATATATAGTAATAAATCCGTCACACTATTCATTACTTACTTACCTGATATAAATACCTTTTTCATGTTTTTGTTTTGTTTTGAACTTCGCGCAAAGCTACA